AGCGCTCTCTCATTCTGGAGCCTCCGAGGGAACCCGGCTCTCCCGCACCGGGGGCCCGAGCCGGGGGTGCGGACAGGTCCCGCCCCAGGGCCGTCTCAGACTTGGGAGACCGTGTCAGGTAGCGAACCCCAGAACATTCTCCCCACAGCCAGCCACGATTGTTTAGCCACCGCCGAGCTTTCTTCACTCTCAAAAAAGCGCATCAGCAGGTGTCCAAATTTATGTTCTCTCACTGGCTTGGCGGCTAAGTCCGGTGTTGGTCGCGTTTCCAGCAGGTGAGCTGCCTGAGCTCTCAGACATCATCTTAGCCTGGGAGAAGCAGCTAGTGGGAGGCCGCGGGTGCGCCCCCCGCGTTCCCTGGCCCCGCACGTGGGCTCTCTGACCGCGCGAGTGTCCATTCAGTCCGTACAGTTCTCAGAACTCCCCCGCCCCCTTTGTTTCTCCCTTTCGCGTCCCGTTCTAAGGGACAAAATGTGTCCTCGCTCCTTTCTCTTTCGGGAGGCGGATTTCAGTCAAGGGACCCAAGGAGCCTTTGAGGGCAGGAAATCTGCACCGCCGCTGCGTGGGTGGGTTTGCTGCAACATCGAGGGCACCGGTTCTGATGAAATTTCAGCAGTGTGGCCTTGGACACATTTGTTGTTGTTTTTCTTCCATTTCGCTCACAAGGCCTCAGTTTCCTCACCTGTAAGATGGGAGGGTTCTGCACGTCAGTGGTGGAAATTCTGTGAATTCATGCTCGTAAAGCCTTCAGTAAATGGGATCTATTATTACCTGGGACCGCCCCGGGGGAAACCCGAAAGAGCCGGCAGGCTCGCTCCCGGAAAGATCGGTCGGATCCCCGAGCCCCAGGTTTCTGGTTCTGATGACAAGTACCCCTCCCTGCCCCAGGTGCCCTTTTGTCGGGTTGCCTTTGTATTTCTGTCTTCCCCGATTGTACTACAGGGCGAAGGTGTGCTCCAACGTACTGGAAGTGACTGGAAGCCGCCTTCTCGGGAATTCTGGGCTGGGGTCAGTGTCCGGATTTCCGGTGGAGCCTCGGGATGAGGCTCCCTTGCGTCCCCCAGGATGGCGGCTGGAGGGCAGAGACAAAAGGGTCAGAGATTTACGGGGCGGCGCGTCCGTGGTCCCCTGCCCCTCTGATCCTTGCCGCCCCACAGCCCCTGGCCACTACCTTCTCCTGTCCTTCTTCTCCGGGCAGCGCCTCGGTCTCTGCCCTCCTGAGCCCTGAACTTGAAAGTTGCAGGGCCCGCGTTCTTTGGTGCCGGCCGGGCGCGGCAGGACTTTGCGCCTTTAGGCTTCACCGCCCGGTCTGCCTAGAACTTTGGGGTTGCGATAGCCCTCTCCCTCCTCGCTGGCAGACCAAGTGGCAAGGGGAAGGGGCGCTATACTAGTATAGGCGGAGGCTATACTAGGGGAGCGCTCTCACCCGCGGAACTGAGAATCGGGGGAAATTTCTAAGGGACAAGTCCCAAGGCTGGCCTCCTGGGGGCGGGCGAGCAGAGATGATTCCCTCCTTCCCCGGGACGTCCCCCGCTGTTCGGCCGCATTTAACTTGCCTCTTTAGGGGAGAGGATGTGTTTCTTCTCCCCCAAACACCCCAGACTTACTGCGATGACTGAAGCCCTTTAGGAAAAGCAATTCATTCCCTCTCGTGTTGAGCAGGGCTGGGAAACCAGGGAGAAGTTCCATGTGGGACGGGAAGCCCATAAACCTGCTCACCTGGTGGCAGTTTCCTTCAGCAGGCAGGGGAGACCCCCCAAAAGCTGGGCCGCTCTGCCTACCATCTGGAGCAGCGGCAAGCTTGTGCACACTAGCCCTGACGGCTAACGCAACTCCGAGGAGCTGGGCAGGAGGCTTCCACGAGTCTCTTCAGTGGCGCCTTCCAGATACAAGCTCGTTCCCCAGGCTTAGGCTCTTTCTCACTTCTTTGCTACTTTCAGAGATGATACGCATTGTACCTGATAGCAGTAGTTTCCAAATACTCTCAAATAGAGGTTCCCAGGATGCTGGAGGTTTGGGCAAGGCCTGGAAGTCTGTATTTCTAATACATGTAGCGCCCTTCACCCTTTCATGTGATTAGGCAGCTGAGACCGGTGTATGGCTTACAAACCACAGTGAAATAAAATTATACATGGGCTGGGGAACCTGGACATTGCCATTTACACAAGTGACATCTCTTCACAGGAGCTGGGACTATAAAGTGAAAAAAGATGGAGCCAGTCTCAGTACAAACCTCACAGCTAGCCCTGACCACACTGGCTTGTTCTCTGGCTGGTGGTGCTATCCTCATACAAGGGACACACTCTAACGCATGTAAGAGGTCCTCTTTCCAAGTTTAAAATTGCACTTGCTGTTCCACATTCGTCGGAGGATGACTATCCACCACAACACTGCAGCTCTGTTGGCCTGGGTGTCATTCCTAGTTTTTCTCTCTTCTGCCCACCTGCCCCCCACTCTCTGTGTCTCTTTCCCATCTTCACCTTTACCTTCTTCCTAGTTCAGCATCTAATATAGGATGGGAAAGCTAGGTTGAAAGCACATGGACACTGAGAAGAAAAGCTATGAATACTTGCTTGATTCAAATAAAGTGCACCCATGGTCCCAGGGACGGTGTTGGCTGTCTGCACAGCCAGAGGGAATAAGTCTTATCAAAAGACTCCTGCCCTCTTGCATTTTTCTTCCGTCTCTGGCCTGGCAGATGTGGAAATTGCCTGCCTCGTAGTTAGTTCCTGAACAGATTGGCTCTGGGGCAGCACATGGGCTGCTAAGGACTTCTTTCTCTGCCAATTTCTCATTTGGGATCGTGGTTTCAGAAGCTTCCACCAACACATGTTTTACAGATGCTTTGAGATTTATAGAAGCTTGACACCAGCAGTTCACCTGTTGTGTGTCCTTTGCTGATTTTGGTTCCCAGAGTGGCTTTCTCCTCTTCCTTGATAATTTCTGCTGGCAGTGACCTTGCCCATCACTGGACTAGGCGCCCTACTGGCCTCAGCTTGGAGTCCTGCAGACTGTTCACAGCAAGTTAAAGTAGAAGCTAGGGTCTTATGCAAGGGCCATCTGGGGCCCATTGACAAGAAGGTCCTCTCTGCTTCCTGCTCCCCTGCTCTCAATGAAGAATCTGTTCCTGGCAGGGGAAGGGCTTGATACTGTGGACCCCAGGGCAGGGGCATCGGGTTAGGCGGGAAGCTTTGAGAAATTTAAAACCCGCACTTAAATTCCAAAGAGATGGAGAAGGATGACTTCCCTTATCCAAGCCACAGACTGACACCTTTTCTGGTGTCTCCATGGCATATACTCCTGAACTGGGAGCCCTGGTGGATGCTACGGGGAGTCCAACGGGTCTGACCATCTCCTTCAGGAACGTCCTAGAGGAAGTGGAGCTAAGGATGGTGACAGGGAGAAAGTGCTTGCATGGCAGGCACGAAAGGGGTCCGCATGGAATGCCCTGCAGGGTGGCCTGTGGACACGGCATTGTCTGAGCCTGGTGGCCACGCACCCAAACACCTGGAGTGCAGTCTTTCATCCTGTTTTGGCATCTAGGAGAATCTCCACTTCCCTGTTCTGGCAAAAGCACAGAGCATAGCTCTTACCTGTCTCCATTTAGCCAGGGCTTGCTGTTTTTCACTCTCTGACTCCGTGGGCTTCCTAAATCAAAGGGCCGAGGAAGCCCTGCAGAAAAGGGATCTGGGTCTGTGGCAGAGAATTTTCTCTGGTGGAGTCCTTGGCAGGTTTGTCTGCAGCCAGGGAGCTCCTTGGGGGGTAGTGAAACAGAAGTTGACCATGTGCTTATCAGAGGTTACAACCTGCTAAAAAAAATGATGCGGCACATTACCCAGAAGCATCCAGTGATTTCCTCGGCCAGCCACAGCGTGTATACTCAAGTAGGAGGCCGTTTCCCCCTTCTTGCTCTTCTTGCCCCTCTTTCTTTTCGGTTCTGCCCCCTTCTTCTCCTCTCCGTCTTTCCCTTTCTTCTTCCCTCTCTCATTTTCTCTCCCCACTCTTTATTTCCACTCGTCAAAGGGTGCGGACAGTTTGTTGTCTCCTTTTTAACATAAAGAACGAGGCCGAGAAATCAAATAACCAACTACTCAGAAACGGTCTACGTGGTCTTGGCTTCGGTAGTTAAAGAAACCACTCTGAGGCGGGGGAGAGGGGACGAAGGGTTAAGCACTTAATTCGAGAACATTTTAAAATGCACCACCCAGTGCATCCCCTCCACATCACCCTTCTTCCTACGAGAGCATTTCATTCCACCACTCGCACCTCTTAAGGACTGCGAGAGAGAAGAGCGGGAGCGAGTGGCAGAAAGAAGCGTCCAACGCCCAGAGACCCGAGGTTAGCGGCCGCGCGGTGTTTCAAGGCCCGTCCTGGGTCTCCACTCCCTGAAGGACCCACGGTGCCTCGCGCGCGAGGGTGTCTTGAGTTCAGGTGCATTCTCCATGCGCTCCCAGCCCCAATCTTGCCCACCTCCAATCAACCCATCACCCCGGTCTGAAAGTGCAGACGTGGACACCTGGGACATGCATCCTACTTTTCCTATCGGGGCTATCCCAACTCCTTCTGCTTTTGCCCCCGGCCGACCCGGAACAGCGGAGCAGGACGAGGCGCCGTCCCTGGGAGGGCGCACCCTGTGCGCCTTGAAGCGCTTTCTGGGCGCTGCGAGATGCGAAAGGACTGTCCGTGTCCTGGAGACTGAGACCTCCCAGCTCACTCCCCTGGGCAGGACACCCTCCCCTGTCCCGGGTCCGCTCTCCAGCCGCCAGCCCCGGCGCTCCGCGCGCTCGCTCGCCACTTTGGCGAGCAACTTTGGCCGGCTCCCCCGCGCCACCCGGAGCGGGATGCTAATGAGGGAGCGGGGCCTGGCGCGCCGAGCCTGCCGCCTCCTGAGCCGCGATTGGCCGCGGCGAGGCGGAAGGATGACGGTATGCAAATGAGGGGCGGGGCCGCGGGCGCGGGCCCCGCCTTCCCCCGTTGGGGTTAGTGTGCCCGTGTTTAGCTCTGGGGACAGTCAAACTGGATTCCATAGGGAAAGCCTGCAAATCACTTCTATTTTAGCCGGGAGAAAACAGAATCTCCATCCAGCGGGGTCCACCCCTCTCTCTTTCTCCCTCTTCTCTCTTTCTATCTCTTCCCTCCCCCTCCTCCCCTCTCTCCCCTCCCCCTACCCGCTCTGGTGTCTGTCTGGCGACCAGCGTCCTCCTCTGCGCGCAAAGGAAAGAAACATCTTTGGTTGGGAGAGAAGGAGGGGGGAAAAAAGCGAGAGAGAGAGAGAGAGAGAGAGAGGAAAAAACTTGCCTGGTTGTGGAAAATGACACTTGAAGTAGCAAAGCCGGCAGCGCGAGTTGAGCCTATTGTTTCTTAAATTGCCATCAGGTTTTTTTTTTCTTCCTGCTTCTGCAAGTGGAGGTACCGTTACAAAAGGCCCCTCCTGTCCTGCACCGGCCTGTGACCACTACAAAAAAAAAGCGCAAAAAAAAAAAAAAACACCCCAACCCAAAATCAACCAACCAAACAACCCCAACAGCCAAGCATACATCTCTAATTTTTTTATTTTGGTCTTTTCGTTGGATTTTCCCTTTTTTCTTTTTTTTTTTTCTTCTGGTTATCGCTCAGTTTTGAGCGAAGGTTTACAATTTTTTTTTAAAATTTGCTTTCCAGCCCGCCTTGATCTTCTAGCGTGAGTTCATCGTCTCAAAAAAAATCTCTGGTTGGCGTTTTTCTTTGCTTTTTTTTTTTTTCAATATTTTCAAGGGGGAGGAGATTTTCCACAAGAAAAGGTTGTTTTCATGTTTGGGATTCAGGAAAGCATCCAACGGAGTGGAAGCAGCATGAAGGAAGAGCCGCTGGGCAGCGGCATGAACGCGGTGCGGACGTGGATGCAGGGCGCCGGGGTGCTCGACGCCAACACGGCGGCGCAGAGGTGGGGACCGCGGGGGGACCGTGGCCGGCAGCCGTGCGCGGGGCCGGGGAGGCGGCGCGGAGTGGGGACCACAGCCGGCAGCCGTGCGCGGGGCCGGGGAGGCGGCGCGGAGTGGGGACCGCGGGGGGACCGTGGCCGGCAGCCGTGCTCAGGGCCGGGGAGGCGGCGCGGAGTGGGGACCGCGGGGGGACCGTGGCCGGCAGCCGTGCGCGGGGCCGGGGAGGCGGCGTGGAGTGGGGACCACAGCCGGCAGCCGTGCGCGGGGCTGGGGAGGCGGCGTGGAGTGGGGACCACAGCCGGCAGCCGTGCGCGGGGCTGGGGAGGCGGCGTGGAGTGGGGACCACAGCCGGCAGCCGTGCGCGGGGCCGGGGAGGCGGCGTGGAGTGGGGACCGCGGGGGCACCGTGGCCGGCAGCCGTGCGCAGGGCCGGGGAGGCGGCGCGGAGTGGGGACCGCGGGGAGACCGCGGCCGGCAGCCGTGCGCAGGGCCGGGGAGGCGGCGTGGAGTGGGGACCGTGGCCGGCAGCCGTGCGCGGGGCCGGGGAGGCGGCGTGGAGTGGGGACCGTGGCCGGCAGCTGTGCGCGGGGCCGGGGAGGCGGCGCGGAGTGGGGACGGCAGCCGGCAGCCGGGAAGCGGCGGTGGCCGCAGGGCTGGGCCGCGCGGCAGCGCCCGCCGCTCCGCTCTCCTCCCGGGCGCGGCGCTTCCCGGCCACTGCGCCTTGGTCGCCAGCGGCCGGCCGGAGAGCCCCGAAAACGCTTGGCTGGCACTTTCCCCTGTCTCGTTCGCGACTGTTTTCATTTTGTTTTACCCCAGAAGAGGCGTCTCGCCCGCGTGATGTTGTGTATGTATTTTTCTGTGATCACGCTTTCTTTTCCGGCCAGCTATTTTTCTTGCTGTGTTTTCTTTTTCTTTTCTTTCTTTCTTTCTTTCTTTCTTTCTTTCTTTCTTTCTTTCTTTCTTTCTTTCTTTCTTTCTTTCTTTCTTTCTTTCTTTCTTTCTCTTTCTCTCTTTCTTTCTTCCTTCCTTTCTCTCTCTTTTTTTCTTTCCCCGTTTACTTCTTCCTTATTTTCTGCTCTTCGTCCTCCTTCCCTCGCTCCTTCCATTTCGTTCGTTCTTCCTCGCTCGCCCCCTGCCTTCTTTCCTTCCGTCTCCCTTTTTTCCCGTTCCCTCAGTCTTTCCCCCTTTTGTTCGTCTTCCCTTCCTCTGTCCTTCCTCCCTCCTTCCTGCTGCCCACTCCACTCCGTCCTCTTCCTGAGCTTTCCTCGCCGCCTCCCCGCTTTTCTCTCCATTTCTCCCTCGAGTCTTCTCTGGTTGCTCCCCGTCAGTTTCTCCCTCCCTTTCTGTCTCTCCAGCGTCGAGTTTTTCTTAGTCCTCCCGGAGAGCGACAACTCCCAACTTTTATTCCAACACCTCCTCAAAGTCTTCCCCACCCCACACCCCACCCTCTGTCCCGGTGGCCCCATCCAGCCCCTCTGCCACCGGCAGCTTCGGGGCCGCCAGCCTGTGTGATCTGAAGGCACTGCCCTTGGAGGTTGACCTGGGCGAACTTTTGTTGGGCACACACCTCATGCCCCTTTTCTGGGAGCTCCTGGTCCCGAGTGAGAAATGGCCCCCTTGTATGCTCCCAGCCCGCCACCTGAGCTTGGGACAGTGGGGGCCTCTGATGGTCTCAGGCCTGACCACACTCAAGAGTGCGGAAGGGGAAGAAGGAAGGTGGCCGCTTCACCCCCACCTTCCTGGGGCTGGAGGGGACAAGCGTCCTCAACACGGTTCCCACCGCCGCTGTACCTCAGGTCGGGGGCGGTTGGTAGTGAGAGTGCGCGGGGTGACCGGGCTGGAAGCGAAAGTGTGTGTGTGTGTGTGTGTGTGTGTGTGTGTGTGTGTGTGTGTGTGTGTGTGTGTGGCACCGAGTGTATGGGATGTTTGTGCCTGCGCACGCACGCCGGTGTCGGGCAGGTCCGGTAGTCAGCGACCGCCGGGCGCCCTGAGGAGATTCAGTCGGGCGCCCTGAGGAGATTCAGTCCGCAGCCCCCGGCGGCCTCACTCCGCCGGCCTCCCCGGCGGCGGCAATCAGGAGCGACGGCACGAGTGGGAGGATTTCTGTCCAACAGCCAAAGTTTGTTGGGATAAGTCTTAAAAAAAAAAAAAAAAGCCCGTCCCCTCTCCCACAGCGACCACCTCCGACAGCTTGGCGACCCACCCTTGGACCCGGCTTCCCCTTCGGTTTTCTCCCGGGGGTTGGGTGTGGGAGTGCGGCTTCCTGAGGCTCGGCACCCGTGGCCGGCCGGCTGGGACGCGAGAGGTTTCCTGCAGAGTGGGGCTGGAAGGCCAGCGCGCCTCCGTCCCTTCCCACCTGTCCACAATAGCGGGCACACAGGACTTGGGTGGGTGAGCGGCGGGAACTACCGTCCGGGCCCCTTCCCGGGAAATGTGACTTGTGTGCGTTCTCCTTCGCTAAAAACTGAGGGGATACCCCAAGTCCGCGGTCACTTCGCCGGCTCCATGTTGGCGCGCGTCAGCCGGAGTAGAGGCTTCCAGAAATTCGTCTTGCGCGCGAACCCCGACCAAACTTTCACGCCTCGTGGCGAGTTCTGAGGTCGCCCGCTGGCCTCGGCAGGGAGGACGAGGACACGCGCGGAGCCTCGCGGGTCCCCTCGGCCGCTACGCCCGGGGGGCCTCGAAGGGGCGTGAGGGGAGCTCACAGAGCAGTTGGGGGCAGAAGCGGGGGGTTTTTGGGGGGACACGCGTGTCGGCCTCTGACAAGGGCTGGGGCGGGAGGGAAGAGCGGGCCTGGGGCGTCTGGCTTTGCGGTCTAACTCTGCGTCTTTGGCCGCAGCGGGGTGGGTCTGGCCCGGGCTCACTTTGAGAAGCAGCCGCCTTCCAATCTGAGGAAATCCAACTTCTTCCACTTCGTCCTGGCCCTCTACGACAGACAGGGCCAGCCCGTGGAGATCGAGCGGACAGCCTTTGTGGGGTTCGTGGAGAAGGAAAAAGTAAGTGGGCGCGGCGCAGCAGCCCCTGGGCCATGGCTTCGAGGAGCAGGCCCAGGCGCCTGGGAAGTGCGAAGCATCTAAAACACACTCCCACATGAGGGCCCCCCCCAAGCCACTTCCCATCCCAGACGGAAAAATAAATTGTGAGGAGTTCCCCCCCCCCCCGTAGTTGGAGAGGAGCATGCTGGCTCCACAGCCCCAGACATAGGCACCACGGATGTGCCAGTCCTCCTTAAAGACCACAGTCACCTGCCTGTGACTACCCAGGCCCGAGCCCCTAGGCCCTGGGAAAGAGCCGCCTATGTTTAATCGCGCGCCAACAGAATTTTCTGGAAGGGGACCGTGTGGAAATGGAGGAGAGGGCACAGTTGACCACATTTTCTGCTCTCTGGGGACTGACTGGCTGGTGGGTGAGGGGATCCAGGTTTGGGGGAAGTTGCTGTAACTTGATGAACTGGCTCACGCTGATCTCTCTTTCTCAACCTCTCTTGGCATCTCCTGTGCCTTTGCATCCTGCTGCAACCCAGGAAGCCAACAGCGAAAAGACCAATAATGGAATTCACTACCGGCTCCAGCTCCTCTACAGCAATGGTGAGGCTCCTGTCCGGGTCTGTGCCAGCACCCTGCAGTTCTGGGTTGGGACGGGGTCACCTGGAACTCCAGGTGGATAAAAGCTTGCAGCATTGCTAGTCAGACTGTCATGCTGGTGGTGGGCCTGCCTAGCCATACTTATAACCCAGGAGGTTTTACTCTAGGAGAATCCAAGGAGTAGGCTGAGGACTGCCTGGTGGGTCCTTGCACATACCTAGGGTCACAGGTAGTAAACAAGCCTAGCAGGTACTGAGCTGTTTTCATTCTTCCTTCCCTTCCTGAGGCCTGTTCCTTCAAGCAGACAGACTGCAGGGCCAAGGCCCTTTGGGATGAGGAGGCCTGGAAGGCCATGGCCAGTGAGGATTCCGGGCGGCACAGAGGGGCACTTGCAAGGGCAGAAGAGCAGGATGCTAGGACCAGGCCAGAGGCTGCTGTCTGGACACTGGGGGAAAGATGTCACGGCAGTGATTTCCCAGGATAGGGCGAGATCCAGTGTGCCTCTGAACCCCTTTCTCTGAGCACATGTGTGTTTGTTTTGTTTAGTTGTTATTTGCTCCCCTCCCCCTTGGCTGATCCCCTCTCATTTAATTCTTCCTTCCTCCATCCACGCCCACCCTCCACTCCAGGGATAAGGACAGAGCAGGATTTCTACGTGCGCCTCATTGACTCCATGACAAAACAAGTAAGTTTCTTGATTTCGTGTCACAGGGTGACCTTAAGGTTGTCAGGAAGCTGGTTGCTCCACAGCAGGGGTACTGGGATTTGGACTCTGAAAGCTGGGGCAGACAACAGACCACACTCCTCAGAGTCCATTGAAGCTCTGCCCCTACCCCTCCCACCCCCGGCACAGAGGAGGGCTGCAAGACTCCTTTCTTCCAAGGGAGTTTCAGGCCTTGGCAATGAAGACAACGGGGTACTGAGCACAGAGAAGAAGGGCTGAACTTCCTGTGACCTGGCAGGGCAGCCCCAGAGGGCCGGTGCAAAAGGTGCCCAGGCACCCCCTTGCAGCTTGAGCTTAAACTTCTGAAATGCCAGCCAACCAGGCCTGCTCCAGGGGGCAGAGGATGCAGGGGTTGCCCCCCCACTGCAGCAGAGGGGAATTCTCTAGGAGTGGGTGGGATGTACTGAGAAAGCAGATGAGCACTCCACAGATTATTTTATTACTATGATTTTTATTACTATGATTTTTAAGAAGGATGGTGGTGGAGGTAGAGTAAAAGGGGGAGCGACAATTGTCAGAAGATATTTTGTAAAAACTCTCTTGCTTTTTGCCTCCCAGTTTGGCAGGAAGCCAGAGAGCAAGAGTGAGTTTGCAGTCTTAAAGGTACATAGAGGGCATTTTCTTAAGCTTCCCAACACTTGGGTGTCAGGCAGTATACATTTAGGCTGAGTTATGGTTTAAAAGATACAATTATGAGCCGAGTCAGAAAAGAGGCCTGACGTTTTAACGAGGTACAGGAGCTTTTCTTCTTCTTCTTAAATTTAAGAAAAAGTTTAGTTTTTGAATTAAGTAGCTGGTTAGGTAAGATTTAAAAAAAAAAAAGAAGACAGCTTTATTGGTTGGGAGAGAGAAATCAGAACAATGAGAAAAGTTAGGCATTATGCTCTAACCAGCAGTTTAGCAAGAGGATTAGTAGTTATTTGGTTGTGATTTTTAAATGTTCCTCTTGAAGTAAAGGAGGTGATTTTTCATAAACACTGACTTGGAAAGTTTCAAGTTAGAGTAGGCATACATATTTAAAAATTGTCTTTTGAAATGTCATAGCTTATATTTTTTTGTGCAAAATATACATGAATAATATTGTGAGTTTTAAAATATATTCAGCAAGAGCTAGTTTAATAACAGCTAGTTTTGATTATTACTCTCATATTTCATTGTGGCAGAAGTAGAAAACAAGTCATATAGAATATATTTTTAAAATAATAATAAATAAATATCTATTCATGTGATTTGCCAACAATTTTATCTGTTTTTCTTGAATTGTTTTTTAGTTCATTAGTCAGAGTCAATTGCACTTATACTTTCAATTTTGGCCTTATTTTCTTTGATGGATTTGATTATTACATAGGATAATTCCCTTTTATATGAACACTGTATTTTGTTAAAAAATTTTTTTTTTCCTTGCCAGAAGAAACACAAAATCCAATATCAAAACAAAAAGGTCTTAGATAGAGTTTGTTTTCAAAAATTGTCTGTGATAGCCTAGATGTCATTTCCTGACCTTCCCATCAGAGGACTTACAAGAGGGCCAGGAGGCAGGGGAGGGAGGAAAACATGAACCCTATTTCATATTTCATACACATTAAGGATTCACTTTTTATATATGATAAAAGGCACACACATACACACACAAATCAGAACCTGAGGCCTGCTTGCATGAATAACACTGATCACTTACCTGTTAAATTACAGGCAGCACTTAGGAAATGAACTGTTGTAAAGATCACAAAACAAGGGCCTGCTTGCAGGAACTCACTTCTCTCTGATTTAAACTTCCTCAAAATTTTATTTTATTTATTTTATTTGAGCGTCACCAAACACTGGTTTTCCCATTAAGAAATGAAGTGGCTTTATACACTATCACATGAAGACGGTAGGAGAATAATCTTTTGATGTTTTATAAAGCAATACATCAAATATCATTTTACTAACAAGGTCATAGAGCTCAAGAAAAACGGCGGCTTAAGGCATTCTGTGACCTCTTATTATCATCATAAATTCTATGGAGAAATGAAGAGGGAGAGGAGAGGGAATGAGAGATAAAGAGGAGCAAGAATAAGATATTGTTTATGTTCAGTCATAGCAGGTATGAAAAATCATTTAGTATAATTGGCATCTTAAAAATTTAAATTATAAACATAAGTAATTACATGCTTTTGAGAGAGTGACCTGAGAAAATCTTTAATAATGATATTAAAAACAAATAGAAAAAGGGATAATTTAGGACTACCTGTTTACTTTTATCATACTTGCTTGAGAAACTGCCCTTTCTATAGCTTTCACTTTGAAAGCCAATTCCTGCTCATTATCCAGTTGCTTGTGTTGTTGATTGTGTGCTGTGAGAGTTTTGCAAGTAAGTTAGATTTTTGTGTGTACAGTTAACTCAGTAGTTGCCAAAAAGGCAGATAAGTCGGTGTGAAGAAACAAACTTTCCCTAGCTGTCACATGATGATGTATGGTTAGCCATGCTTTACATGAAGCTTTGCTTTAAAAGGTCCTCAACTTGTTTGACTTGGTGCCGTGATAATTAAACAGCAGGTCTAATTTAAAATTTCTTAAATTTTTAACTTTAGCTAAATATATAGTGGCCTTGTCAATCAGGAGCGAGTCTTGATATAAGCTGTTTGTTTATACAATATTTTTGCTCTGAAATTCTGTCTGGTAGAATCTGGATTTTGATGTTTGAAGTGCAGAATGGAATAGTTTTTGGTGATGTGATGAGTTCTAACAAAAATCATAAATTGTGGAAGGAATTCCTAGCCATTGTCAGGTGTCTTCTGTTAGCTGCATGCTTATTATATCATTTTTTCATATCAGGGATGTGGCTTTATGTGTGTGATATCGTATCCTTAATTCACAAATTGACATGAAAATGAAAAAAGGGATCTCGAATGAGCAAATCCAAAACTAGCCGTGTACTCCACATTTCCCTAACGTAGGGCTCCTGAGCTCGGTAGAGTTAGTAGCATTGAAATCAGACAGAAATGTACTCAATCAACCAAGATGCGTTGGGATGACACAGTGTTTCACACCTCCAGAGTGTCTCATTAGACTATTTTGGGTAATGACTCTGAATTTTGGACTCTACCTGGAAGTGAATGCCTAAGATTTAGGTTCCTTACTCATTGCAAGGGTCCTTTGTAAAACGTAGAGGATATCATGTTTAAAAATTTTGTCCACCAACTAGGAAATAAAAGGCTTGCTTTTGGGAAGGATTGTTGAAAACCAAGTTTAGCTGGACTAAAAATAGGTTGTTTTTGTGTCTTTGCTGTTTTTGGTATTCTATTAGTGAGCTTGCGAAGAGCCTTGTTGGATCCAGAAGTTTATGGTTGTTGCATCCAGAAACCCCCTCTCCTCCAGAAGCTGAAATGTACCCAGTGGGGGAGGTCTAAGGTTTAATATGCCTCATTTCACTTGTTCATGTAGTGTTTGAAATATGATTACATTCTTGTTGCTTCTGTGAGCTATTTATCTTTAAATAGTTAGCAATCAAAAATCCTTAACTTACCTGGCTTCCTATCATCTTGCTTTAAAAGTGATGTATATTTAGTGACAGTCAAGGAAAAGATACTAGATTTCATAAATCCATAAAAACAAAACACTCCCCCAGCCCTCCTTGCACCCCGCCCCCGAGTCAGAAGCTTTTTTTGAAAGGGGAAGGTAGTGTGCTCACATATCCTTGTATATATGGATTTGAGGGTAAGAGATAGGAAGCAATTGCCTTAAAAATGTCCCAGCACAGTGGGGGTAGAGGGCTCCAAGGTATAATAATCACAGATGTGCTCTGATTTCTTTTCCCAGCTAGACTTCTTTATATGTTTGTTTTGATGTTCCTGATACTTTAAGTTATTGAAGCAAGTGCAATTTTTTCCTATTGATTGTTTCATTATATTCTGCCACAGCTATGTAGATTTGGTTAGCAGTTGTTTCAGTTCATAGTTCTTCGTTGGTAGATAAGCACGTTTTCAGTGTAACGATAGGTTTCCAAAGAATGCACTAGGCCAGCACAGTTTCTTTCAGATATTTTTGGGAGAAGCAAACAAAAAAGGATGAACAGGATTGTAGTCAGAGGCCTTATTTCAGCAGCTTTTTCAATCCTTTGGTAACATGTCAAAAATGCAGGTGATTTAAATTTCCTTGCACAGAGAAGAATGAAGAAGTTTGGAATTTTTATGCATGATCAGGACCTGTGTTTGGGAAAATGTAAACTCATCACAGTGGAAAATGTGTTGTTTGGAGTCTGGGGGTGAAAACAAAGCTGATGGTTTTGGAGAGATTGCTGGAGCCAGATGGCCTAGTACTTCCCCAGTCTGGCGGTCCAACTGCTCCCTCCTGGATAATATACAGCCATTTGTTCGGGGATATTTACGCTAGAGCTGTTTCCATGTGAATGTTTGAACAGCATTAAAAACGAACATATTAGTAGGGATGCATTTATCGAACTTGTACGACTGTACAGTTAGTCTGTCCTCTGTCTACTTATATTGCTGAGAGCGATAAAGGAATGTTCGGAGCTTGCCGAATTGTTTGCATAGTTGTTGAACAACAATGATTTGTTCTTAGTGAGTAATTATAATATGTAAGTGTTTGGAATAAAACTACTGGAAATAATAATAGCACCTACCTTATAGCTATGTTGTGTGAATTAAATGAATTCATATAAATAAAGGGCTTAGAATAGTGCTTGGCATGTATTAACCGCTTAATAAATTAGCTGCTTTTGTTATTTTATTATTATTTTTATTGCTTCTTCAGGTTGACAGAGCTAAGCATATTAATAAGAGATATAAATGTAGATACGATGTGAGTGAAGTATCTTTTATTACTTCCAGAAAAAGAAATGTAAAACTGTTAGAAGGATTTAGTTTTTTGATGGTGTTTGAATGTGAGGAGTTTGATTTTGAGACAAATAAGGCATGCTAGAACTTAACTGCTATGAGTACACATTCCCTTTTAATTCA